AATTCAGTGAATATCATGCATGCATTCCATCAAGATTATGTGTCGATTATTGTTAACCTTTAAGTCTCTTTTGCCAAAGACCTATCCGATGCTTTTGGACTTCTCGTGTCCAAGTCCAACCCTTGTACAAGTTATTTATTTTAACATTTATTCATTTATTTATTTTATGTTTTTGGTCTCCATGCCAATCAAGTTTATGTTTTTGGTCCCCGCACCATTCAAGTATTTGTTTCTAACCCTGCGCCAATCAAGTTAATGTTTTTGGTTCCCTCACCAATCAAGTTTATGTTTTTGGTCCTTGTTCCATTCAAGTTTATGTTTTTGGTCCTTGTGCCATTCAAGTTTATGCTTCTGGCCATGCGCCAATCAAGTTTATGTTTTTGGTTCCCACGTCATTTTAAGTTTATATTTCTAGTTCTCACGTCATTCAAGTTTATGCTTTTGACCTTGTGCCAATCAAGTTTACATTTTTGGTCCCTGCACATTCAAGTTTATGATTTTAGTCCCTGTGCCAACCAAGTTTATGTTTCTAGTCCCCATGCCAATTAATCAAGTTTGTGCTTCTGGCCCCACGTTAATCCAGTTTACATTTTTAGTGTATGCACCATTCAAGTTTATGCTTCTAGCCTCGTGTCAATCAAGTTTATATTTTTGGTCCCCGTGCCATTTAAGTTTATATTTTTGGTTCTCACACTATTCAAGTTTATGCTTTTGGCCTTGCGCCAATCAAGTTTATATTTTTGGTCCCTCCACCATTCAAGTTTATGCTTTTGGCCCCCACGCCAACCAAGTTTATGTTTCTTGCCCTCGTGCCAATCAATCAAGTTTGTGCTTTTGGCCTTGCACTAATCAAGTTTACAATTTTGGTCTCTACACCATTTAAGTTTATGTTTTTGGCCCTCGCGCCAATCAAGTTTATGTTTTTGGTCCTTGTGCCAATCAATTTTACTTTTTCTAGTTCATGTATTAATCCAGTTTTATGTTTTCGATTCTCATGCCAACCAAGTTTATGTTTCTTGTCCTAATAAAGTTTATGTTTCTGGCTATAACACCAATTAAGGTTATGTTTTAGGCCCCTGCATTCAACTCTTTGTCTCTGCACTTACCATTTTCATATCGTGAGGAAAAATTTGTTGTTCAATTTTTCTCTTAATCCATTAGATAAAATATTAAATCAGTGTTAGGTCAGTTAAAACGATGAGATTAAGATGTTGTTGAATATATAAATAAGGCAAAGGAAGATAATGCAAAGTGTTGTTTAAAAAATGGCGGACGCAACTATGAGGAACCTGAAACACTAAACAAAAATGTTAGAAAAATTATCCCGAGGCGTGTGATGGCACTGAAGAAGGACCGAAAGCGTCTATTTATAGAGGCTCAGAAACCCTATTTCGCACGCGCAAGGGGGGCCAAACCGACAAGTTTGAACTAAAACGGGCTCACAAGGCCCATTCTTACGTGTGCGAGCCCACCACCCATTGCTTGCCTCTTTGGGAGTGTAAGGAGCACTTTGATATATAAAGTCTCTACACTTGAGTGGTTCAAGCAATGTGGGACTCTTTTCTTTTGGAATATCGTATGTGCAACAATCTCCCACATATTTCAAAAGAAAATACTTTAAATTTTGATTGCATTAAAAAAGAGAAATAAAGGAAAGAAACTGAGTTCTCATATTGATTGTAATACATTGGAATATCATATGTGCAACAAAAAAGAGCTGCGACTCTAGGTCAAAATACTTGCATGATTGTTGTGTTTTTGAGAAGTATTTTCCTTTTTACTACTATACCATGTAAATATTCTTTTGTTATTCTTTATTTCGGCATTGTGATTCATAACTTGTCATATGTTTGTCTTGCATATGCGTTTATTTTTCTATGGAGTCTATTATGTACTTACATTTAAAATTGTTACAAGAAAAATAAAAGTAAGTCTATCACTTCCTTTTTCATATTTTCTTCACAGTCTCCTCAATGGTGTGCCTATTCAAATAGTTTCATTCTCTTTTATTATAAAATGATATATATCTTCTTTTTTATTTTGTTTTCTTTTATTTATTTATTTATTTATTTATTTTCTTTTATATAAAATGATTATTTTACGATGACATTTACAAATATCTTCAACATCTCGTATTTCTATCTATTTTTTTTTCTTCACAAACGTGTTATATAATATATTATAAATTGAGAACCAATATATTGCTGCAGTGAATATTAAATAATTTCTAGTGTCACAACGCATACTAAATATTAAATAATTTATAGTTTCACTTAATATATTACTCAAAGGTTGATATTCAAACCGAAAAAAGAAGGCATAAAATAAACACTACTTAAATAATGATTATAATTTAAATACTTTAATTATGTCTAAGAAATCACCTTAATTCCAAAGTGTTGAAATATTTTAATTTTAAATGTTGTATTATATATATTGGACTATGTTGAATTACTTAATTTCATATTTTTTTACATTATTATTTTATTTACACTTGAATATTATTTATAATATTTTAATAACAGATTTATATTTTAAATTTTGAAATAAAATAATGTATCTTTATATTTTTAAGATGTAAATATTTACTATTTTAAAATTAAAATCAATTAATTCAAATCAAACTAACTTATTATTAATTGGTTTGATTTGATTCCAATAAACTTTTTAATAAATTTTATCTAAATTATAGATAGGAACTTTAATTTACTTTATATTTAAACCAAACTAATATTCAGGAGCTCAAAGTAGAAAGTAGGCATGGCAACGGGACAGAACGGGGACGGATTTTATATTCCTTGCCCCCGTCCTCGATACTCGCTGGGATAAAATCTGGGTACTCATCCCCGTTCTCGAGGGAGTTCAGGTTTCCCCGCCCCGTCCCCGCCCCCGCTCCCGTTCCTACCTTTTTATTTATTTATTTATTTATTATTTCTAATAAATATGAAAAAAATTAAAAATAAAATAAAAGTTAGATAATATGAATTTTTACATATAAATATTTCTAATTTTATTTTATATATAAATAATTTTTAATTATATTATTAAGTGGGACGAGAATGGGGCGGGTATTGATATTTTTGTCTTTGTTCCTAATTTTATTAATTGAAAAAAACTTAAACCCAATAAATATAATTTTTTCCTATTTAAATTGGGACGAATTTGGGCGAATATCTACGAAGATGTGTTAAATGGCCATGCCTAGTAAAAAGTGCGGTCTTATTAATACAAAAATATCAAAAGCGAAAATGAATAATTTCATGTGTCTATCATCTTTTACTGTCGCCACGATGACTATTTGACCATTCGGTTTATAATTATCAAATTATAGATAGGAACTTTTAGTATACCTTATATTTAAACCAAACTGATAAGGAGCTCAAAGTAGAAAGTACGACCTTATTAATAGAAAAATATCAACGCCAAAAATGCATAATTTCATATGTATCTAATCTATCATCTTTTACTTCGCCACGATGACTATTTGACGATTCGGTCATATAATTATCATCTATTATTGTTCTCATGGATAGGATGCCTTCAAATGTGTCTCGTCTCTCTCTGCATTTCATTAAAGAAAAACCACTTTTGAAAATGTGAGCTTTCTTTATTGTCTTTGGTAGTTTTATTGCACTCTAAAACACTATTCAGTAGCCTTGTATTTAAAATCTTTTATAATGTAAAGAAAATAATTATTATCATTTTATCAAACGATAGTGTAAAATTGTCATAGATCATTATTCATTCATGATTCATGGATACGATAACTTTTTCTTAATTATTGCAAAAGGGAAAAAAAATCTCTCTTGATCCAAACATCCTGTCCAGTACCACACATGGGCGACACTACCAGTCTACCACCACTAGCTCAATCTAAAAGACAAAAGAAACTAAAAAATAGTCGACACCCACGTATGCAATGACGTCAATTTGGACCTACGCACATGATTGACCAACACTAAAGATTTAGGTTTACAGGGCATAGATAAAGTATGACAGACAAGAGTTTAGCTTCCTACTTTGCCACGTGTCCTTAGAAGCTGTCACTTAGAGTCAATAACAAACTACGTTTACTTCTTTGGTGGATTTCTTTGATAGATATTAGGGATGGCAAAATCGCCGTGGCTTGGCGGGTCGGGTTCATTATTTTAGTCCGTCAATTCGTCAAGCTCGTTCAGCTAAGCTCGTCAACTTGGCGAGCTAAATAGCGGGCTGGCTCATTCCAACCCGCCAAGCTCGCATAGATAATTTACTAATTTAATGATTGAGCTTTAGTATAAATAATAAGCTTAATATAAAATAAAAAAAAATCAGGCCAACAGAGTCCATTTCCAGCCACCGAATATGCGTCCACATCTTTTGGAAAGTTATTGCAAATTTGCAATTAGTTTTTCTTTGAACTATAATTCCATATTCCCGAAAGCCAAAATATTCACTACTTCCTGACCCCAATGTTATTTTGATGATTACCGTAAATTTGTGGAGTATAATCATCTACTAAAAACTGCATTTAATTTAATTTATCAAAATTTCAAAGCCAAACCTGCTCAGGGGTGAGGCCGTGAGGGTGAAAGGTTTGCCTCCAACAGTAAACGTGATGTTTGGCAATAGAGAAATGCTATTACAGTTTACTACTGACTCTCCATTTGGACTTGGCAAGCTCTCACACAGCTTCCATGATTCCTTTTTTATAATTTTTTTCCATTTTTTTTATTTAAACATAAAATATACTTTTTTTTTTTATTTTTTGCAAAATATTTTTTGAGTATACGGGCTGGCGACTTAGGCGGAACAGGGCAGCATTTTCAATCCGTTTTTCATTGACGGACCAGCTCGACCCGGCCCATTTTTGGCGGGCCATTGAAGGGGCGGGCCAAAACCGGGCGGACTGGCCCTTTTGCCACCCATGATACTACGTTTACTTCTCTAACCTTATCTTATGTATATGTATATATATATATATGTAAGAACCCACGTCCATTTCTAGTATCGTGCATTGTTTCACGTCTTTGACTTGCACTGCATCACTCGCAGCACATGGAAGCATGGTTCATCACCCTTGTCTCTTTCTGCGTCTGCTTTCTCATCCGAGCCATCTTTTCGCTTCACTCATCACCAACCAAAGCCAGTGGCAAAGCAATTATCACCACCCCACCCGGTCCCTCACACATCTCAATCATAACGCGCCTCCTATGGCTCAGAAAATCCTTCACAGAACTCGAACCAACTCTTCGAACGTTCCACGCCAAGTACGGCCCCATCATCACTCTCCGCATCGGCGCTAGCCCCGCCATCTTCATCGCCGACGGCGCCCTCGCCCACCGCGCCCTCGTCCACAACGGCTCCCTCTTCTCCGACCGCCCCGAGGCCCCCGCCACCGCCGCAATCCTCAGCAGCAACCGCCGCAACATCAGCTCCGCCTCCTACGGCGCCACGTGGCGCACCCTCCGCCGCAACCTCGCCTCCGAGATGCTCCACCACTCCCGCGTTAGGTCCTTCTCCGGAATCCGCAAGTGCGTGCTGAACAGCCTCCTCACGCGCCTGAAATCCGCTTCTGAGTCCATCCACTCCGTTAGAGTCATCGACCACTTGCGACACGCCATGTTCTGCCTTCTCGTCTTCATGTGCTTCGGGGAGAGACTCGACGAGGGGAAAGTCAGAGACATCGCGCGCGTGGAGAGACAATTGCTTCTGCGCCTCGGGAGCTTCAATATTCTCAACTTCTGGCCCAGCGTCACGCGCGTTTTGTACCGCAAAAAATGGTTGGAGATGCTGAGGTTAAGGAAGGAGCAAGAGGACGTGTTGCTTCCGCTTATAAGAGCCAGAAAGCAAAAGCAAAAACAAGCCAAGGAAAGTGGATTAAACGACGACCACGATGACGTCGTTTCGTACGTTGACACTTTACTGGATTTGCAGTTGCCGGAGGAGAAGCGCGAGCTGAACGAAGGGGAACTAGTGACGCTGTGTAACGAGTTTCTAAACGCGGGTACGGACACCACTTCCACCGCGTTGCAGTGGATCATGGCGAATTTGGTCAAGTACCCGCACGTGCAAGAGAGGGTGGTGGAGGAGATTAAACAAGTGGTGGGTGAAAAGAAGGAGAGGGAAGTGAAAGAAGAAGAGTTGCATAAACTGGGTTATCTCAAAGCTGTGGTTTTGGAAGGGTTGCGGCGCCACCCACCGGGGCACTTTGTGTTGCCGCATGCGGTCACTGAAGACGTTGTTTTGAAGGACTACTTGGTGCCGAAAAATGGGACGGTGAATTTCATGGTGGCGGAGATGGGGTTGGACCCTAAGGTTTGGGAGGATCCCTTGGCGTTTAAGCCTGAGAGGTTTTTGAATGATGAGGGGTTTGATATTACTGGTACTAAAGAGATCAAGATGATGCCCTTTGGAGCAGGGAGGAGGATTTGTCCTGGTTATAATTTGGCGTTGCTTCATTTGGAGTATTTTGTGGCTAATTTGGTTTTGAATTTTGAGTGGAAGGTTCCTCAGGGAGGGGATGTTGATTTGTCGGAGAAAAAGGAGTTCACTGTGGTCATGAAAAATGCTTTGCAGGTTCATGTTTCTCCTAGGATATAGTCTATGTTTTGTGTACATCTCATTGTCTATACTTAATTTGCTATCAATATTAACAGCTTGCAGAAAAATTTCATGATAGAAGGATACTCTGGTGGTTATCCAAGCATGATTTATTGAAACATTCTTGACGTGGTACTAGTAGATAGTCCTTTACCTACTATAAGAATAATAATTAAATTAATTATTTATCATTAGTTTCAATTGGCTAGACAACTCTAGTCTATCCATTTCATTTGGTACATTCCACAATCCTAATCTTCATTCTCTTTACTCTGTGAATGTCTTAGTCAGTATACATCCGGATAAAATAATTGTTTTAAGCACTAATTGATCCTCTTTGCGTCAACTCCGCTGTTCGTTGTCTTTTGCACTTTGCGGCTGTTAGAATCCCTTTTTCAACCCTAGTTGTTCTTTTAATAATAGTTTTCTTTTTCTATTTTAATGTAGACCTTTCTTTTTATATATATACATACATATATATATATATATATTAATGCAGAAAAAAAAAAGAGAATATATATAATAATCACCCATTTATTACTTTTTTTATTTTGTTTTTTAGTGGAGGCATGAGTAGCTCTTTCTCCGCCAGTTAAATAATTAGATTGCCCTCTGACGTCGTTGATTCATAATTTGATGAGTTACTTCATGCTTTCCAACTCTACATTTACCATTTGTTTTTCTTAGTTTTTTCTTACACATTTATAGAATCTTTATGATTTGTGATTCAAATGACAAACATTCGTAATGTTTCATGTCATGTGATGAATAACGTACGACTTTAATGGTACAATACATAGATGTATTGGTTCAGATTAAATGCTTTTTTCTGAAATAGTATTCAAACATCTTTGATTATATGGTTGCAAATTCTCCCATGGTCATCCCCATTGTTTATATGAAATTTAAACATCAAAGAGTGGTGGATGTATTATAATTAAGTTTCAAATTTATAAGTTCTTCTTGTCATTAGCTATGAATATAGTGCACTTGTAACAAAAATGGTCTCTTTGGGATAGAGGCTGCAGGTTTGAGTTTAGGAGTTTAGTCACACATACAATAAAAATAAAAATAAAAAATATTATAGATATAAGTTGAGAAAGTGTGAAGCTACATAAGAGGAAATTGCAATTCACGTTTAAATTAAGGAAAGAGTTACTATAAGATATACATGTTAGTAGGGTAGGTATATGAACGGTTACGAATCATTTAAGACTGGCTTGTAAATGTTGCATTTTAACAAATCGAATAATTTCAGCCAGTGAAATAAACAATAAAAAAAAAACATTGATCCGTGAAATTCGCTGATAAATGGGCCAATCCATAGGCCTAATGAGAATTTGAAAAAAAATATCCATAAAACAAAAATTTGTCAAATTCAAGAGTTTTTTTTTTTTCTATCCTTTTTTGAGCTATTGAGATATTGAAAAGAAAAATTAATAGTTTTAAAACAAAAAATATTAATATATTTATAAATAATATCAAATATTTTAAATGAAATTCAAAGTGTTTATAACATATCAATATTTTCACATTTTGTCAAAAATATCAAAATTATAATGTCTTAAAAATTTAAAAGTCCAAATATATTAATTAAACATCAAAGTCTTAAATTTTAATGTTTTCAAAATTTAAAAGTCAAAGTAAACCAGTCAAATATTAAAGTCTCAATGTCTTAAAAATAAATATTGTTAAGTCTTAGTGTTAATTGAGCTAACCCATGAATTTCGTAGAATAAGCTTGCAAGTTTCATAAACTAGGCCAAAAAAATTTTATTGTCATCATATGAATTTTTTAAACATTAGCTCATATCCATGTGAGCCATGAGCTAAAACGAACCTTGACCTATATACCCACTCTCACATATTAGTGGCATTATCAATTTCATTTATTCTACAAGTTAAACCAATGTCCATGCTTTTTCTTAGCAATAAATACCTCAACCTATCACAAAGTTAGCTTTAGATAAATTGTACATTTCCCAATCACACTAAATGTAATCTTTGATGATAGGTTGTATATTAGGTTATTGAACTCTACATTCTTAAAAATATGAAGACCGTGAATATTCTTTTCGAGTGTTGGTGTTAATTAAGATTATTATGTTAGAAATTTAACTAAATCTATTGAGTTTTTCTCTCCTTCCTCTCTCTCTTCCTATAGAGAGAGAAAGAGATAGAATGACTCACTTACTTTAAGAGTAAGTCTTGATAAACTTACTTTACTAAATAACTTATGTGTTACATTAAATTTTAATGATCCAACTATTAAATTAAAAAAAATTTAATATATAAATCAAGTCTTCAAATCTTTAAAAAATTTGAAAACCACATGATACTTTGTTATATAGATTCAAATCAACATATAAAATACTTTTATGATTATCTGTCAATTTGAATTAATGAAATAAAGTATCAAATAGTTTTCAAATTTGTAAACTTATACATTAAAAACTTTTAATTTAACGGTTTAATTATTGAAATTTGATATAAAAAAAAGTTATTAAATGGAATAAGTTTATCAAAAAATACTATTGGAGTAAGAAGATCCCTCCTTACTACTACAAAACCATTGTCCAACGTCACCATATCTACATCAATTTTAATAAAAATGATTTTAAAAAATGCAATGACATTTTTATAATTAAATGGAAAACGTAAATATATTTACATCGATTCTATGGAGAAACGATGTAAATATGAAGTATTCTACATTGGTTTTGGTAGTGACCGATGCAGAATTGAAATCCCAAAAGTATTCTTCATCATTTGTGTAACGACCCGCCATGGTCTCTACACTTAGTGGAATCGCACTATTACTAGTGAACTAAGAAAATATTAAGTTGGATAACTCATACATACAGGTATAGATAAGAATAAAAATAACTAAATTTCTTAAATACAAAATAAAACGCTATATATGTACAGTCATCCCAAAAATAATATTCCCTAGTGTCGGTCAAGCACAAACAAAACCGTTACCCAACGTGGTAACTCTAGCACGAAGATCAAACTCCCCGTCTCGCAGCGGTCACCTCAACTCCAAGCTAGCCCTGACCTACTCCCATACCAAGTATGATCATCACAGTTCCACCACATGGAAACAGAAGGGTAAACTAGAATTCACAAATCAGTCATACAAGTATAGAACAATAATCTACACTACACAATCATCCAACCCATCAATCATGATCATAGAGTCACACCATACACTCTATCCAACACTACTCATGCATCAAATACAATCCACCAATCATGAAGTCAGACACCACACTTCATCATATTAATAACCATGCAATGAATGTATCTCATGACAGATATCAATGCATATCAATCATCTAATGCGTCGTCACGCATACACCTAGGAGATCTCCACAACAATAGAGTTGTATAAGTGACATTTCATCCTACCGAAACCACCCCAACCGTTTTCACGCCCAATGCGCTCGCTCGGTCACAGCTAAACAGGATATATAATCCTCACTCGGGTTTACTCGGATGATGTCACTTACACACTTGGAAGTCCAGATCCACCGTCAGTATAGCACAGCTGGGTACGGGCTTACGACGACCTTGGCATGCATTAACCAAGTCAATTGTGGAGTTCGCCCACCAACTATCCGCAAGGGTCCACGCACCTTCCCGAGTACTTGGTTAAGGGAATAACCATCGACCTCATACCCCGCTCCAACACTAGCTAAGGACTTAGAGGAGACTCACCCAACCCAGTGGCCTATCTAAGCACCACTCTCCCAAATCCAGTGGCCTCCTAGAGCACCACTCTCATATATCAGTGGCCTATCCAAGCACCACTCTCAAGAGACTCTATGTGAGCTCTTCCAGTTCGAAAATATTTTTCCTCTCCTCAAGTCCTAGGCTAGACTCATGCCATAAGGCATCACATGCAATCATGCATCATACATCATATATGGTCTGCCCACCATAATGATCAACAATCATACACATGTCATAAGACATCACATGCAATAATGCATCATACATCATACATGGTCTACCACCATTATGATCAATAAACATACCATATGAACATATACACATGTCATATCACATTCAAACATTCATATATATCATCACTATGCATACATATGAATCACACTTCACCATACAACATATATCATACATACATGATCCAAATCTTCAACTTTAAACATGCATAAGCATCAATTATTTATAAACATATTCACGCTCGGCGCAGCCTGAGCTCGCCCAGCCTAATCCCAACCTGAGAGTCCTAAAACTCATCCACACTCGACGCATTCAACTCACGCTCGGTTTCCTTGAGACAGAGACTCCTAAGAGTCTCCACGCCTGACGTAACCAAATCACGCCTGGCCCAACATCCAACCCGAGAGCCCTAAGCTCTTCCACACCTGACGCGCTCAACCTGCACCCGGCCTAAATTCCAGTCAGAGAGTTCAAAACTCTCATCCAAACTAATAAATTCAGCCACATGCAAACACAAAACACAATGCATAGGCTCCATACGACTCAAAATAAACTTAAATCTCACATGCATCCAACCTATGCATCAAAATCATCAAAATCCTCATTTTTCTCAAAACCCCAAAAATGAGATTTTCTTCAACCCATCTATGGATTCTCAACATTCATGCACCTATTGAGTTTGTAAACTCACATGCAACCTAAATAACTAACATTCTAGCTTCCTTTACCTGAAGATTGGCTCAGAATAGCCAACAACTGTGACAAAATAGAATTCCCTTCCAAAGCTCAACCCGGAACTTCAATCCTCCTAAAAGCAAGCTTTCTAATCTGAATTTCAAGAAAAGCCAGAAGGCATTAGTGGTCTAGAGGAGAAAAAGAATCATACAGAGAAATTTGGGAGAGAAAGGAGCTCACTGACCCAGAGACCTTCTCTCTAAAGCTTCTCTCTAAGAACTCACATTCTCCCGAAAGCCCCCAACCCCTATTTATAGACTTTTCGGATTGGCCAGAACGGCCCGTACCGAGTTCGGAATGGCCCGTTCCGAACTCCCAAATCACGCACAAAAACCACGCCCAGAACGACCCATTCTGAAATCAGAACGGCCCGTTCCGGAACTCATCCGGAACGGCCCGTTCTCCCTTCGGAACGGCCCGTTCTCCCTCCAGAACGGCCCGTTCTCCTTTCCAGAACGGCCCGTTCTCCTTCCGGAACGGCCCGTTCTCCTTCATTTTTGTAAGGCCAAATCAGTAGTTTGGAACGGCCCGTTCCAATTTGGGAACGACCCGTTCTAGCTACTGAATTTTTTTTTCTTTCTACGTTACAATTTGTGTTGGTGATCGATGTAGAAATAAAAGCCCATAATTATTATACAACATTTTTGTTACTAATCGACGTAGAATTGGAAGCATAAAACCACCAAAGGTGCATAAGATTGATCATATCGCGCATTCTCAGTGCTTCTTTGACTCTTGTGTAGGAAGCTCTTCGACTGACCAAACACTCATCGAATGATCATTGACTCTCGTGTAGGAAGCTCAAGCCTTTTTTATTGTTTGTCAATGTGGCTGCTAAAATACCCAAGGAACTAGGATCTTCCATTTTCTCTCTAAATGCACTCAAGCCCTCTTCTTATGAAGTTGTATTTTTCTTCCTCTTTTGGGTTTGTTTTTGTAGATTCGAACGCATTCTATTCTTTGAATGCCAAGCTCACTTTTGATCAATATTAGTAGCCCTCCTAAATCCTCAAAATTGTGTTCATCAAAAACAAGTTAGGATTTTGCAGAGGTGTTTCAATAATTCTGGAAGTTGGTAATTTATTTTTTCCACTAACACCACCATTTTTTAAACTAAAGTATCCTAATAGGCTTCTAATAGAAATAGAAATACATGCTTTAAAATAACACAATGTTGTCTTCTATCATTTAATTGAGAAATTATGTAATAATCCTATTGTAGCTTTGATTTATCTTTTAAAGCATTCAAGTTTCTGGCTAATCATTTAATTTTATTGCATAATTGTCGCAACTGAAATCACAATAGAAATGATGTAAAAATATTTTTAACAAAGCCACCATCAATATTTTATTTTGTGGAAAAAACATTGAAAAATCCTTTTTAAAAATAATGATCTTTGAAATCAGAGTTAGGCTCAGAAGTTAATTATGCATAAAAAAGTATTAACACCCTACAATGCCCGTTGAAAATAGTACCTTTAATTAATTGTGCAAAATTATATATCTTTACAAATATTCGTTTTACTCATAAAAAATATTTTTTATTTTTTATCCTTTATTTTAAAAAAATATTCATTTTTATTTTTTATTTTTTAAAAAGAAAAAAAAACTTGGATAAAAATTTAAGCTAGCAATTGGTTAGTCATTAAACTCTAAAAATTGATAACATTAAAAATAAAATTTTTTATTCAAATAATATTATCATTAATCACTATTATTGGATTTTCATAAAAAAAAATTATTTTACCTTATGTGTAAAAATTTATGATAACAAATGACTATTCCATAAATTTTTATGATAGGAGTGCTACTTAATTAATATTGCCAACTATTACACAAATTAAAATATTTATATGTAAAATTGTCTTCTTTTCATTTTTATTTAAAGGAGAAAAACTTGCATAAGAATTTAAGTTAACAAATGACTAATCATTAAGCCTTCATAATAATGTTAAAGATAGAAGAACTATTTGATTAATGTTACTACTTGTTTAGGGTAGTAGTATCAGTTATTTATTAAAATTAAAAAATATTATTTTTTATTTTTTTTATTTTATCAAAAGATGACAATTTTCATTTTTAAACGTTTTATTAAAAAAGTATCCTGCACAAAAATTTAATCTAGTAAATAGTTAATCATTAAATCTTGACAATCATATAATGTCAAAAGATAAAATTATTATTCAATTGATAAAAATAATGAAATACAGGAGAGGTAAAGAGACAGATAGAGATATAGGAAGGAGAGAGATAAAGAGAAATAGTAAGAGAGAGAGGGATAGAGGAATGGTGGAGGAGTGAAGGTGAGAGAGATGGAGGAAAAGAAATAGAAAGGAGGAGAGAAGGAGGGAGAGGGAGAGAGGAAGAGAGGAGAGTAAGAGAGATAGAGAAGGGGATAAAGAGAAATAGGAGTAAATTTTTTTTGTTTTAAAAAGGATATTGTAAATTTTATTATGCATTAAACTTTTTTCTTAATCTAGAAAAGTTAGATGAGAATGTTTTTATAGAAAAATGAGATAAAAATCATTGTAAAAAAATTATATTCTTCTTATAACAATTTTAAGATTATAAAAACTCAATTAAAAAAGTAGGAAAATAAAAACGAATGATAGCATAGGAGCCATACTTGTCGGGTGTTTGATTTTTATCCCTGTCTCTGTTGGGTATCGGGTATACCCGTACCCGTACCCGTCAATTTTTATTTTTTATTTT